CAAGAAATCTAATGAGACCCTCGATGTTGTGATAAAGAACCAACTAGAAATTAAGCATACACTGACTGAAATAAAGAATATTATACAGACACCCAACAGCAGACCAGAGGAGCGCAAGAATCAAGTCAAAGATTCGAAATGCGAAGAAGCAAAAACCACCCAACTGGAAAAGCAAAATGAAAAAAAGAATCCGAAAATACTAAGATAGTGTAAGGAGCCTCTGGGACAGCTTCAAGCGTACCAACATCAGAATTATAGGGGTGCCAGAAGATGAGAGAGAGCAAGATATTGAAAACCTATTTGAAGAAATAATGACAGAAAACTTCCCCTACCTGGTGAAAGAAATAGACTTACAGGTCCAAGAAGCGCAGAGAACCCCAAACAAAAGGAATCCAAAGAGGACCACACCAAGACACATCATAATTAAAATGCCAAGAGCAAAAGACAAAGAGAGACTCTTAAAAGCAGCAAGAGAAAGAAACACAGTTACCTACAAGGGAGTACCCATACGACTGTCAGCTGATTTCTCAACAGAAACTTTGCAGGCCAGAAGAGAGTGGCAAGAAATATTCAAAGTGATGAATACCAAGAACCTACAACCAAGATTACTTTATCCAGCAAAGCTATCATTCAGAACTGGAGGTCAGATAAAGAGCTTCACAGATAAGGAAAAGCTAAAGGAGTTCATCACCACCAAACCAGGATTATATGAAATGCTGAAAGGTATCCTTTAAGAAGAGGAAGAGGAAGAAAAAGGTAAAGATACAAATTATGAACAACAAACATGCATCTATCAACAAGTGAATCTAAGAATCAAGTGAACAAATAATCTGGTGATCATAATAGAATCAGGGACATAGAAAGGGAATGGACTGACTATTCTTGGGGGGGAAAGGGGTGTGGGAGATGCAGGAAGAGACTGGACAAAAATCATGCACCTATGGATGAGGACAGTGGGTGGGGAGTGAGGGTGGAGGGTGGGGCGGGAACTGGGAGGAGGGGAGTTATGGGGGGAAAAAAGAGGAACAAATGTAATAATCTGAACAATAAAGATTTAATTAAAAAAAGAAAAGAAAAGAAAAGAAAAAGAATTACCAAAAGAGAGAGAGCGCGCTCGCACGCACGCGCGCGGTGTCATTATCTTTATGTCACAGATAAGGAAACTAAATCTCAGATAAGTTAAGTAACCTGCTTCTAATCACACAGTCATTATGTTGCAGAGCAAATATTCAAAATTCAACAGGACTCTAGTCTATGTTTATCCACTACAGCATAGAGGTTTTCCAATATGAAGGGTTTTAAGAGAAGCAAGATGGCAGGACAGACTTAGTTTATTAACCAACATGTATTAATACCATAGCAGAGGCTATGCTGAAGATTCAAAAGTGGACCAACACCTTCACACCTACTAGGACAGCCATCATAAAAAAGGTAGACAATAACGAATTTGGCAAAAATGTGGGGAATTTGGAATACACACACATTGCTCTTGGGATTGTAAAATGGTGCAGGAAAACAGTTTGACAGTTTCTTAAAATATTAAACATAGAGTTACCATATGACCCAGCCATTCTACTCCTAGGTATATACGCAAGAGAACTGAAAACATGTGTCTACACAAAAATTTGCACATAAATGTCCATAGCCGTATTATTTATAATAGCCAAAAAGTAGAAAAAGCCCAAATGTCCATCAATTAATGAACCAATAAATATAATGTGGTATACGCATACAATAAAATATTATTGAGCAAGAAAAATAATGAAGTGCTGATTCATGCTACAATATTGATGAACCTTGAAAATAGTATCCTAAAAGAACCAAGAAGGCAGCGTAAGTAAACAAGGTACTTGCCATCTCCCACAACCACATCAAAATTACAACTGAAATACAGAACAACCATCATTCAGAACCTGAGTAGAAGTCCTACAACTAGAGAATTAATGAAGAAAGCATGTTGAGGATGATAGGAGGGGTGGAGGAGCAGAATGTGCTGGTCCAAAACCCAAGTGTGGTGTGTTTTTAATTGGGAGGGATATCTAGGTTGCAGAGGCCTCCCATGAGGAACAAGGGGTCCCAGCCCCATACCAGACCCCTCAGCCCAGGGTTCCAGTGATGTGAAGAGAAGCCCCTGTAACTTTGGGCTATAAAAATTAGTGGGGATTGTGACTGAGTGACAAGGAGGCTGCTGGAGACCCAGGCAATTCCTCTTAAAGGGCCAGCACATGGATTTACTTGAAGTTGCTCCCTCTGAGCTTCAACACTGGGGCAGTGGTTTGGGGGGATTCAAGGACATACAGGGAGGAAATGAGTTGTCTGGTATCAGAGAAAGAACTCAGGGGCAGCTTTCTCCAAGAGAGAAGGACCATTGTTCCTATGTTGAGACCTCCCCCATCACAGAACTGCCTGTCAGACACCATAAAAACCTAGTTCACACTGTTTGCTCAACCCTGGTGATTCCCTGAGACTCCACCCCTCCCAATTAGCAGCCCCACCCAAGCTGTTAGCAGTGGCTTTTCCATACAAATGGCCTGTCCTGGCTCAGGTTTCAGACTTTCCTAAAATCTCTCAAACAAGCAGAAGCTGGCATCAGCATGCCCCATATCTCTTAATAAGAGGCCCCAGACCTGGCACTAGCAACAGTCTGCTTTGCTTCAAAGCTTGGCCTCCCCTAGGCACTTCTAAGCCCAACACAAGTAGCAGCCATCTGCAGATCACTCTGTAGCTCCTGATGAGTAGCCCCAGGCAAGGCACAGGCAATGGCTGACTTTGCACCTTCAGGGGGCGCCCAGAGCCAGTGCACTAGAGTCATGAGCATAGATCAAGAAAGTCTTCCTGGAGAAAGTGGTATCAGAGCAGACCATTCAAAGGAGCTAGGCTGATGAAAAAGATATAGTACCCTGCAGATTATAACCTGGGAATGCCTTATAAGAGAAAATTAAAGTAATTTATTCCAGCTCTTCTTGATTACTGACTTTTAAACCTAAATTGGCTTGTGGTTCACATTATTGCTAATCTCCCCAGTCCATCACGTCTCAGAAAGGAGTAAAGGTAGACTCAGAAGTAGAATGTTCAAGTCCTCCAATGGGATACATCTCCAAATTCAGGGATGAAATCTATAGTGTCAACCACCCACCTTCACAGATTGAGGTTAATATAGAATTGAAGGTCTTTGCATGAAGAGCTATGGACCTGGAATGAAAGACAGCCAACCTACTGGTAACAATTAGGTTCCACCCTTCTTATGAAAAGAAACAATGTAAAATGTACATGGTGAATAAATTGTAGTAGGTTGTGACAGTTCTGTTGAAATTAAGGATGGTGATGTAAACATGAATGCCAACTGCAAGACAGAGGTCCCTGGCAGTCTCAAAAACATAGTTGGTGAATACGCACCAGGGTTTTCAGCACTGCGTGTCCCTCAGAAATGTTTGGTGAGGATTAACTGCATGGTTAATCTTAAGCAGTACGTAGTCTAAAGGCTTTACCTTAATAGACTGGATTCGATAAGCAAAGACGAACTCTTGGAAGGCCAAGGAATGAATGTTATTCACCTGCACCCCAGCCCAGCACAACCTACAACACCACAAAGTCAGTTCTAAACAAATGGGCCAAATTACACCAAGGCCAGCAAGATCATATCAGCATGTAGCTCTTAAAAAAATATACACTAACAGCTCAGTTTTTCTTCAGGTTGTGATACATTAAATATTTTTTAAAAAATTAACTACTATATGCAGAAATTTAGTACATAATACATCTGCATTTTTAATTACTGGTAAAAATATAGATTATTCAATAAATAATGGTAGGACAAATGGGTAACAGATTGGTAAAAAAAGAAATTGGAATTCATATCTTATCGTAATCAAAATAAATTTCAGATGCATCTAGAAATTTAAATGTAAAAAAATGGAACTATAAAAATGAAACTGATTGAAAGGTACACATTATGTCTCTGTACTAACTTTGCAACTTCCCGTGACTTTATAATTATTTCAAGATAAAAACTTAAAAAATACTTGGTGAAATCTGAGATAATTATTTTATAATACTAAAATGAAGAAGGCCTTTCCAACTATGATACAAAGTTCCAGAAGTCACAGATTTAAAGATTAATTAAATATGCCTACCTAAAATTAAATATCTGTGAATGGCAAAAGCTTCAGTATACAAAGTCAAAAGACAAATCAAACAGAATGAAACTTATATGCCTCTCCTATCCCAAAGGGCTAATTAACTTAGTATGCAGACTGCCAACAAATTAACAAGAAAAAAGCCAACAACCCAAAAAGAAATGGATAAAAGGCAAGAATAGGTTATAGAAAAGGAAACAGAAATAAATCTAAAGTATATACAAAAATACCTGACCTTACTCAGCAATGTGATAATACAAATTTAAATTAGAAGGAAATATCATTTTTACTTATCAGATTGGCAAAGACCACAAAGTTTAATAACATACGTCGTTGACCAAAGTATAAAGAAACATGCACTCTCATGCAATGTTGGTAGGAATGTGAAATGGTACAACCTCTGTGGGAGTGATTTGGAAATATCTGTTGCAATGAAAATGTTCTATGTGTCTATTTAACACTTGTGTGAAAGATGCATGTACAAGATTTTTTATAACAATGTTTTAATAGCAAAAGAAATAAAAACTTTCCAAATGTCCATCAACTTGAGGGAATACTGTGTAGCTATAAACAAAATAGAGTAGCTTTACCTATACTGCTATTAAATAATCACTAAAATATATCATTAATGCCAGGTACAAGACAAACTTGCTTGTATATGCACAGAATGTCTCTGGAAAGATTAAGAAATGGTTAAAAGTTATAACAACAATTAAAAATATTTATTAATGTTCCCTAAATTTTATGACCACACATAGAAGGCAGTGAACCAAGTAGTAATGATTGTAACTACACAAATTTACTGAGTCCTTGGTACAGGCTTTGAAACTACAGGATACTAAAAACAGATTACTCACTAAGCAGGAACGAAAACAGCATCAACACAAGCCAAATCCATCAGTAGATGGCATGGATTAAGAAAATTTGATCTAGACCTCAATATACAGAAGAGCTGGAAGAGATCAGGTATTATTTACCTTCATAGCTCACTCTGCCTCTTTTCCCAACCTGGCATAGACTTTTAAAACAAAGCAGATACTCAAATGTTTATGAGTGAATGAGTAACTAATTGAATGGATAAATGGATGGGATGGATGGGATGGATAAATGGATAGATGGTTAAAAGAAAGCATAAGTAGAAGGCCTTGATCTACTTCTGTTTCCATTGCATTCTGACACTGGGCAAGCCTCAGTGCCCTTGTGGTTCCCTGTGCAAATGGGAGGTGCTGGAATGTGTGTTTAAGAACCATGATCATAATCCCTACATGAGTTGGTGGATAATTATTATCATATGTGGCAAAATAATGCTTCCCCCCCCCCTCAAAAATGCCCATACCTTAATCCTTGGAATCTGTGACCATGTTATATGGCAAAAGGGACTCTATAGATATAATTGAGGTTACAGACATTAAAATAGGGAAATTATACTATATTATCCAGGTAGGCCCTGTGTAATCACATGTGCCCTTATAAGCAGAGAACTGTCTAGTTCAGCCGTGGGCAAACTAAGGCCCGCGGGCCAGATCCGGCCCATTTGAAATGAATAAAACTAAAAAAAAAAAAAAAGACTACACCCTTTTATGTAATGATGTTTACTTTGAATTTATATTAATTCACACAAACACTCCATCCATGCTTTTGTTCCGGCCCTCCAGTCCAGTTTAAGAACCCATTGTGGCCCTCGAGTCAAAAAGTTTGCCCACCCCTGGTTGGAAGAAGAAGAGATGTGGCAGAAGAAGAAGGCAGAGAGATTTGAAACTTGAGAATTCAATGCACTGTTGCTGGCTCTAAAATGGGTTCAAGGACTGGAGAGAAGCCTCCCAGTAGCTAAAGGAAGCCCCTGGCTGACATCCAGCAAGGACACAGAGATTTCAGTCCTGCAACCCCAAGAAACTGGATTCTGCCAACAACCTGAATGAACTTGGCAACAGATTCTTTCTAGAGCCTTCTGGTAAGAATCCAGCCAGCACCATGAGAAACACAGAGCAGAGTCATCACTCTTGACAACCTGTGTTTCTGACCTATATATCTCTATTGTTTTAATTAACTAATTGTGTGATGATTTGTATGGCAGCAACAAAAATCTAATATACAATCTTTCATTCAGTCTAAGAACCATTCATTGAGCCTGTGCCACATGTTGGACCCTGTGCCAAATATTTAGGGTAGACAAGTGGTATATGTTCTCAAGGAGCACAGAAACCCACTGAACAATTCTATGATAGAGGTTAGCACAACACACTATAGCAAGCATGTCAAACTCAAAGGCTAACACAGGTCAAATAAACAAGGCATGCGGTCCATGGGCTGTGGGCCGCGAGTTTGACATGCTTGCACTATAGGAATACAAAGAGGAGATGCCTAACTGGTATGGCATCCTTAGATGCTTTACTTATCAAATCTCTAATCCCTCCCCCTTCTACCAATGAATTGGACCACCAACCTTACCAAAAGCAGAAATTACAAGCCATTCTAAACACTATTGACCCCTCAAGACCTATGACTTATATCACCCTAATAATATTTCTCCTAAAAAGTCCCTTTCTCTTTCCCTCAATCTTAATTCTTCTTCCCCAAACACCTAGCTCATACTTCTTGACTCTAATCATCCCACCTGGATTACTGTAATGACCTATCAATTAACTTTCCAATAGTCATCATTTTCCACAGTCTACCAGAGACATCTTTCCAAGGATTAAATTGATCATGCCATTCTCTAGCTCAATATCCTTTGAAGACTGCCTACAGTAGAAGTCTAACTCCTTGGCTACCCTTAGCAACTTTTCAAAATTCCAATACGGGCAAAAGCTATCTCTGCTTGGCTTCTAATCCCAGTGCCTAGGAAGGATCTGCCACATAGTTGATTCTTGGTGTTTCCCACCTGATGCTCCAGCCTCATCTCTCACCTTACAGCAGCCCCCTTTCTCTATCTTACTTAGTCTTACCTGTTCCAAGCTATTCCATCTGCCCTTTCTTTCTATGCTTCAATTTCTCCTCAAGGCTAAAACGCCTTGTTCATCTCACTTGTAAATTGATCTCATTTTTAAAGATTATGCCTTCCTCTAGTAGGGTTTCTTCTCCCCTTACAGAGCAACCATTCAGGAGAAGTACCTGGTCTCTTCTGGGTCCCTGATATGAACTGTCCCCTCTCCTACCATAGCCTCTATAGCAGTGGTTCTCAACCTTGGCTGCACATTAGAATCACCTGGGAATCTTTTTAAAATCCTGATTTCTGGGCCTCATCTTCTGGAAATTCTGTTTCTTTGTTACTAATGTTGTGGCCCCACCCCATAACAAAGAAACAGAATTTCCGGAGGATGAGGCCCAGAAATCAGGATTTTAAAAAGATTCCCAGGTGATTCTAATGTGCAGCCAAGGTTGAGACCCACTGCTCTATAGCAAACACGCTAGTGTGGTATTCCAAAGGTGGCCTGTGGACTGATGCTAGTGGTTTATTACCAGTCTGGCATAAGGCAAGTCCAGAAATGAAATGAAAGTATTTTAGAAATGTGTATGGCAATTTGATATTGCTGTGGCATTCAAGTATGTGATACTCGTTAAACAAGGTATAGACCAGTTTGGGTGTTGCTGAATTGGTGTGGTGAGTCACATGTGGCGCAAACTGCATTTTGTTCATGTGCAACAGGACCACTTGTTGTGCATGACAGAACAAAAACAAACTAACAAAAACCCCACTGGTCCACCACCACAGCTGTCCTAAGGAGCACTGCTCGAATGCCCTCAGGTATGTCCTCATCGACCACCTGTAGGATGTTGCTGGCTGCCTGAGAGATGTCCAGTAAATATCAGTGACTAAATCCTTAATGATATGAATGATAGAAAGACTTCCTGAAAGATGTGAGATCTGAGCTACTTCTTAGTGACTGGTAGAAATTGAGCACTTTGGGGTAACAGGATAGGCAAATGCACTGAGGAAGGAGTGCAAATGAGGAATAGTGAGAAAAGACATTTAAATGAGAAGCTTTCAAAAGGTGAAATATTACATAGAAACATATTTACGTAAAAGAGTTCAAACAGACAGTTCTGCTAGAGTTCTACCACTCTGACAACCGCCACCCCCTCAAGCTTACTCCAAAGCACCAGCTCTGTGCAGAGTCTGCAAGCCCTAGCCTATAAGCAGAGGGAGACTCTAGAGCAGTGGTTCTCAACCTTCCTAATGCCGCGACCCTTTAATACAGTTCCTCATGTTGTGGTGACCCCCAACCATAAAATTATTTTCATTGCTACTTCATAACTGTAATTTTGCTACTGTTATGAATCATAATGTAAATATCTGATATGCAGGATGTATTTTCATTGTTACAAATTGAACATCATTAAAGCATAGTGATTAATCACAAAAACAATATGTAATTATATATGTGCTTTCCAATGGCCTTAGGTGACCCCTGTGAAAGGGTCATTCAACCCCCAAAGGGGTTGCGACCCACAGGTTGAGAACCGCTGCTCTAGAGCCAGCATGTCAGACTCAAAGGTTAACACAGGCCCAATAAACGAGGCATGCGGCCAGCGAACCCCGAGTTTGACATGCTTGCCCTAGAGCAGTGATGGCGAACCTATGACATGCGTGTCAGAGGTGACACGCGAACTAATTTTTTTGGTTGATTTTTCTTTGTTAAATGGCATTTAAATATATAAAATAAATATCAAAAATATGTCTTTGTTTTACTATGGTTGCAAATATCAAAAAATTTCTATATGTGACACAGCACCAGAGTTAAGTTAGGGTTTTTCTAAATGCTGACATGCCGAGCTCAAAAGGTTCGCCATCACTGCCCTAGAGGGTTTAATACAGTGACCTCGCTGTATGAAGAGTGAATGTGAGGCCCTAGCTGCTTTGACTCAGTGGATAGAGTGTCGGCCTTTGGACTGAAGAGTCCCGGGTTCCATTCCAGTCAAGGGCACATGCCTAGGTTTTGAGCTCAATCCCCAGTAGGGGCGTGCAAGAGGGAGCCAATCAATGATTCTCTCTCATCATTGATGTTTCTATCTCTCTCTCCCTCTGCCTTACTCTCTGAAAAAAATAAAATAGAAAAAGTAAGAATGTGAGGCAGTGAGCCTGTGGGAAGGGAGACCAACTAGGCTTTCACTGCTATCATCCCGGTGAGAATTGTTTAAAGGGCTCAACACGGGCAGAGGTAGTTTAGGATGTGCAGTCTCGGCGAATGCAAAGTCAAGAAATATTTATGAGGCAATATGGGAAGGGCTTGATGATTCACTAGACAGGATAAAGGGATGGGATAGCATAACTAAAATGTCTAGATTGGCCCTAACCGGTTTGGCTCAGTGGATAGAGCGTCGACCTGCAGACTGAAGAGTCCCAGGTTCGATTCCGGTCAAGGGCATGTACCTGGGTTGCAGGCACATCCCCAGTAGGAGGTGTGCAGGAGGCAGCTGATTGATGTTTCTCTCTCATCGATGTTTCTAACTCTCTATCCCTCCCCCTTCCTCTCTGTAAAAAAAATCAATAAAACATTTTTTTTTTGGAAAATGTCTAGATTGGTTTTGGTAACTATGAGCATGGTGGTGTCACCAGATGAAATAAGGGAAAAGGAAGTGGGACAGGTTTAAGGGGCAGGAGGTTCACAACTTCCAGTGTGACAAGCCTATGGGATGCTCAGGTGAAGATGGCACTTGGGAAGAAGGTCAAGGTATCTAAAGAAACAAGAGTTTGGAAGCTTTCACATCTAGATGGTGATTAAAACCATAGTAATAGATGAATGAAAAAAATTGTGTTCTAAAGACAAACCCTTGAATAATACTATGATTAAGGGGTAGGTTGAGGTAGAGAATCTTACAAAGAAGATGAAAAAGGAAAAGTCAAAAGGACACGAGACTTAGTTCATGCAGAAACAAACAAAATTGGGAGAAATTCTGAAGAAGGAGACAGTGATAAACATAGTCAAATGCACAGAGAGGTCCAGTGTGATAGTGCTGAATGGTCTCTACTGACTTAAATGAACCTGGAAGCCCCTGTGACTTTAGGAAAGTTAAGTAGAGTGATCAGGCACAAGCCAAAACATAAAGGCAAGTGAGAAACAAGACACTGAGCAGGTCACTCAAGAGGTCTGCTTGTGAAGGCTAGAAAAGAGAAAGGAGGTACAAAATCAGGCTGTATCATTTTTGGTAAAACCTTAATATTTTTGTAGTGAGGGGACGACGCAATAGAGAGAAACAGGAGGAACAACCAAGAAAAGTCTGGAGGAGGGAAGGAGGGGAAGGAGACAGAGGCCTCCCAAGTGGTGCTCTTCTTCCACTGGGGCAAGGTGGCACCTCATCTTCAAGAGGGGAAAAGAGGAGGAGGGCAGGACGTAGGTGAGTTAATAAGGGGGAATGAAGCCAGGGCCCATGTGTGGATTATACCATACCCATCACAAATCTTGATATTTTCTAGAATCCAACCACTCTCCATTCTAATGGTAGTCCAAGTCACTGTCCTCTCTCACCTGAATCACTGCAATAGTCTCTCAACTGGTCTCCCTGATTTCACCCTTGTCCCTCTTCAATGGATTCTTCACATTAAAAACAAAACAAAACAAAACAAAACAAAAACACCCAAGTCATGTTACTTCTCTGCTTAATATGTGTCAATCAATGTCTTCCCATTTCACTCACTTAATAGTGAGTTTCTATAATAGGCTTTGAGGCTCTACGTGATCTGGGCCCTCCCTTTCTGACCTTACCTCCTCCTCACTTCTCTTACCTAGCTTCAGCCACACTGGGCTCCCTGCCCATCCCTGAACACACCAAAAATGCTCTCGCCTCAAAGCATTTGAAACCACTGTTCCCACAACCTGAATTCTCTTCTTGCAGATATCTGCCACAGCAACTGCTTCACTTCCTTCTGATGTCTGATAAAATGTCACCTTCACCACCCCCACTAACATGAACTTGCCTATCTTCATTGCTTTATTTTTCTCTACAGCACTTTTCATCATTATATATATTTTTTCCAGCAGTATTCTGTATTTTTGTATTATCTGAACTCCCTATTCCCCAATTTCACTGGAAATACTAGCTCCTCAGGGTAGGGATTTTTTTCTATTTTTGGCATTGCTGCCTCTCAAACACCTGAGACAGTGCCT